GAGGACGAGCGTCCTGTATATTCCTACACCTTCCCAGAGTCCTTTGGGCCGTTACTGGGGAGCTAAACCATGCAGGACACAGACCTTCATGTTGTCAGAACTTCCTGGTTCGGTTCTGGCTCATTAATTCCGTCTTGTTTCTGGTTTCAGAGGAGAATTCTGCCCAAACCCACCAGGAAAAGCCGCACGAAGAACAAGCAGAAGCGTCCCAGGAGGTGAGTGGATCGGAACCGATTCCAGCCGATATTTAACGCCGATCAAGGCTGTTTGGAGAGATGATGGAGAAGAACATGATGTTGAATCAAATCATCGGTGAATTTATGGTTAAACTTAAGGGCACATTAGTTTTAATTTTTAGTTTTACTGCTGTTTTTTGTTTTTAAATGTCATAAACTCATCATTCAGACGAGTTTATGAAAGGAATGATGACCTGAAAGTAGGCGGAGCTCCAAGGTCTACAGACTTCAACAGTCATGCCTTCAGAATCCGATTGGAATGGAGGAAAACGATTTCTTACCTCAAACGTAAACATCGTGTCCATAAAAATTCCCAGCAGGATCGCTATGATCATAAAGCAGTAGAACCGTCCTGACCTGGATCAGGTTGGACCTGGAGCTGCTGTCCCATCAGAAACAGGAAGGAGGATGGTTCAGTCTGAAATGTACCGGATGAGGGAATGTCTGCTTTCCCGTCAACTCCGGGACATCTGGAGAGGAGTGCTCCGGTTTTCCTGGTTTTCCTGTTTCTCTCGCTGCAGGAAAATCCCACTTCAGCTTTAGTTGCATCCTTTAGGAAGGTTCCTGTTTGTATCTGTGGGTGACTGACCGTTTGATCGGTTCATTCAAGGCTGATCTGAGCATGTGCAGTGATGATGTCAGACCAGTGATGTCAACATCTGATCTGTCGGCGAAGTCTGAGTCATTTGACGCTGTTTAAGATGACGATGACCTTCGCTATCGTCTCCTAAAACACGACCGCTCTGGTTCTGTTAATGAGCCGATAGATCGTGACAGGGAGATTACAGATCTGTTTAAAATTCTGCAGGAAGGCGTGTGATTGGTCAGAACTCGGGCCAGACTTCCTGGTTTTAGCGAATGTCAAACTCTTTTCTGTGCAGAATTCTTGTTCTGGTTTCTGGGTCCAGTTTTCCGACATGGACATCCAGGAGTCCTTCTCCTGGCTCTGTCCTGGTGGCGTATGGGAGCGTAGCTCCGGCTCGGACGTCCATTCCCGTTCCACGGTGTCGGACAGAAAGCTCCGTCCCCGGCTGCTCGCCGGCGAGGACGAGCGTCCTGTATATTCCTACACCTTCCCAGAGTCCTTTGGGCCGTTACTGGGGAGCTAAACCATGCAGGACACAGACCTTTAGCAGAACTCCGGTTCTGGTCAGAGGTTTTTCCAGCTGCTGTGAACCATGCTGTCCTGTCCAGGTTCTGGTTCTTACGTTGATCCGTCTCCTCCTCTGTTCCAGGTGGAGACCTTCTCCGGAGTCT